TAGCTAAAAATGCAAGATGATTATCAGAATAATGAACTGAAGAAACAGGATGTGAAGAAGTTAAAGAGTCAAATGTTGAAGTATTGTCTTTTACTAGACATGCTTTGTATGTTATGAAATCATTAAACTTGGAAGGAGCTTTGGATATCCTAGAACTCCTTCTGAGTAAAGGTGGTTCAAGCACTTCTGTCTAGAAGTGGTTGAGGGAGAAGGAGGATCAGAATAAGAATGATTCAGTGTAGATATGAGAGGAGGATCAGACATATGTTCAGAGTAAGAAGGAGGGGCTGGACTATATAAGTCTGACAAGTCATTAATGGCATCAGTGACAAGTAATGATGTATCAAAGGCATTTGATGAAGTAAGGGGTTCTGTTTTCATGAGATAAGGAAATGTGGACTCATGAAAGACCACATCTCTGGAAATGATGGTCTTATGAGACTTAAATCATATAGTTTGTAGGCTTTTTGTCCATTTGGATAGCTAACGAAGACAGTTTTGATGGCTCTGGGGGAAAATTTATCTTTGTGTGGTAAGACATTGGTTGCAAAACTGAGACAACCAAAGACTCTTAAATGGTCTAAAACAGGTGGTTTCCATGTAAAATTTCATAAGGGGTTTTCCATTTCAATAAAGTTGAAGGTAATCTGTTTATAAGGTAGGTTGCTGTAAGGATAGCATCTCCCCAAAACTATATGGGTAAACCTGATTGAAACAGTAAGGCCCTTGCAATTTGGAAAAGGTGTTTATATTTCCTCTCAACAATGCTGTTTGTTGAGGGGTGTAGGGGGCTGATTTTTGGTGTAGAATACCAACATTCGAAAGTAAGGATTGGCATTCTTGACTGAGAAACTCTGAGCCATTGTCTGATCTTAGGATTTTAATAGATTGATCAAACTGGTTACTAACCATTTTAAAGAAAACAACTAGTATGGAAACAACTTGAGATTTAGATTGCATAAAAAATGTCCAAGTAGAACGGCTATAATCATCTACTAAAGTGAGAAAATAATATGCACCACTCAATGATTTATGTTTATAAGGACCCCAAATGTCCACATAAATCAATTCAAGAATTCTAGAAGATTGTATAGTTATTACATGGTATTTCAGCCTTTAATGTTTAGAAATTGGACAAACAGTACAAGTATTATTCCCTGAAACAACAGAGATCAAGCCTAGTTTTAGAAACTATCAAGTCTGGTACGTGGCCTAATCTGTGATGCCACAGTACATCATTGGCATCTGAAACTAGATTAGAACAGTAAACATGTGAACTTTTTGGTTGAATTACAAAAGGATGGAAGACATGACTGTGAGCAAACTTTGAAATGGCTTCTGATGAAAAAGAATTTGAATCTAGGTAATATAGCTTGTTGAGGACCTTTCCAACTATTTTGTTCACAGATAAGAGATTATATTTGAAGGAAGGAATGTGTAAGCATCCTGTTATTTTTAGCCTATCTGAAAATTGTATACTACCTTTATGCTCAACATGTTTAACACTTCCATCAGGCAATGAGAATGGTGTATACTTTGTCACAGCTACAAAACTACTTAACAACTTTAACAAAGCTACCATATGTATAGTAGCACCTGTATAGAGAAACCACAATCTAAGATACTTATTCTCAATCATGGTAAGAACACTTAGAGCTGTGTAATTACTCATACCTGAGAAATCATGGTAGTGAGCAAAAATAGCATGTTCTCCTTCTGTTGCAGGTAGCTTTCCCTTCATCATCCTCATCAGATTGTTCATTGGTGCCATCATATCATCATTCTGTCCTGAAGATTATTCTTTCTCCATTTCAGTAGTCACTTCCTCTACATTTGCTGAATTTTTGATCCCCAATGGTTTCCTAGTCTCTTTATAGATTTTTCACCAATTAGGATAACCCACAATCTGAAAACATTCACTCTTAAGATACCCATTCATTCGACAGTGGTCACATTTGAGTAGATTTCTTGCTGCCTTTTCCCTTCTCCAGTCATTTTTCTTTCCAAAAGAAACACCAAATTTCCCAGTGCTATTTGTAGTTCCTGTGGCAAAAGACTTCATTGATGGTTTGTTGTAGTTATTCACCCCACTGCTGTTGTAAGTATTGTTCCTTTTCTGGACCATCATTGCACTTTGCTCAATGCTTTCTCCAAAGGTCCTCTGTACCATTTGTTGCTTCTCCACGTTCAACATCATGGAGTAAGCCTTTTTCACTTCAGGGAGAGGATCTATCATCAACACTTGGCTTCTTTCTGAGTTGAAACTGTCATTCAAACCACTCAAAAACTCCATGAATTTGTGTCTATTTTCTCGACCTCCATTCCTAGTTCTCCTGCATGTGCATCCATCGCAAATACACTCATCTAGTGGATCCACATACTGTAACTCATCCCATAACCTCTTCAACTTAGAGTTATAAGCTGCTACACTTAAATTCCCTTGAGAAATTGTTGTAACTTCCCTACGGAGATTATAAATCCGAGGGCCATTCCTAGTGCCATAGCTTTCCTTAAGTTCTTCCCACAAATCAAAAGCATTAATAGCTAGATCATAATTCTCAACAATTTCAGGTGAAATCAAGTTCAAGATCCAAGCAATTACCATGTCGTTGACTCGAATCCACTGTTCTTGATCTGGATTTCCGATCGCTGGCTTTGCCAATTCTCCGGTGATGAAACCTAGCTTGTTTCTAGTCCCCAAAGATCTTCGAATTGCATGATTCTATGAAATGTAATTCACACCCGTCAGCTTGCTTGGAACAAGTAACAACGCAGCAGTATCAGAACAACATCTAATCTTCTCTCCCCTGCTCCTCAAACTGTTCTCCAGTGCGATCTCTGGTGCAATTTGCTGCCATTTCTTCTCAATCGAACAGATCTGGTTCGAACTTAGGGTTTCTTTATCAAGAAATTTAGAAGCCAAAGATTAAAATTCTGGTCACCTCTGTAATCAATTCCGGCATAGAGCAGGTTTTACACTTGCTCTGATACCATCTTGAGTATCAAAATCAATCAAGCGGAAGCAAAACTGGTTAAAGATTGATCAAGAACTAGGGTTTGTAGAAACTAACTGGAAAGTTAAGAAGTGAATTAATTTCTGTATATTGATTATGTCCAAATCGTATCTTACAAATCAGACACATTAAATATATATATATATACAACTTCTGTAAACCGACTCAACTGCTAAGTTTGACTATTTACACAACTGTCCTAACATTTACGCAATGTACAAACTAGTCCCTGATTATAGTCAAAATATGTACAATCTACTTTGACTCTATATACATTCTATATACATGTGATCAACCTGGATCCTTCTCTCATCCATTTGATTCTTCTAGACTTAGTAACTATAGTGAGAAAAAGAAAAAAAGGGGGGAAAAGGAGTGAGAAAAAAGCATTCTGTTTACATCATTACAAGTAATTAATCTCCAGCTGAATAGTATTAGGAATTCGGCCCATAATGCTGACTTAATGGGAAGTTGGCCTATTCGCAAATTACATTAGCAAAACATACTACATGCCACAAAGTTGTAACACGAGTTCTGTTTTAAATTAGAAATCCTACTGGCACCCATACTTTAGTCAAATGATTACTTGATCAATGAAATTGTAGAACAAACGTTGAGTTACCTGATCAATCTGATGGAAATACTCATCTTTCCACCACAAATTCTATTTCCAATGAAGAATATGTTCGTACTGGGTAAGTTATCAGCAGAGGATGTGAAATCCATGGAGAAAAAGGCAGGCTTCATATCTGCTACACCCGAGAAGATACTCTCGCTGCACACTACCCATACTACTAATTTCTTGGGGTTGTACCAGAATAAGGGATTGTGGAAAGAATCGAATTTTGGCAAAGACGTTATCATCAGATTGGCAAAGGTGTTAACATCGCAATCGGCGCTTACAGCGCGACGGCGAAAGGGATTTCAGTGAGTTACTCAGCTGAAAAGAGTGGTCCAGCTTAGGATGGTTGTGAAGAGCAAGGTGAATTGTTCAGAAACATTCTGCATCCCAGAATCGCAAGTGAACTATCCATCATTTTCGATTCTCTTCGGATCATCAGTTCAAACGTACACGAGAACAGTTATAAATGTTGGTGAGGCTAATTCTGTTTACTCTGTCAGGGTTGATGCTCCTGAACTGCTGAACATCACAATGCTCCTGAACATCATTGTGAATCCAACTACTTTGAGATTTTTAAAGTTGAATCAGAAGCTAACATACGAAGTCACGTTTAGCAAATTTTCAGCAGATCCTTCTCTCCAATTATCCATGTCACAAGGATTTCTTCAAAGTACATTGTTTGAAGCCCAATTGCAGCAATATTTTCTTTACTGGAGTGACAGGGGCCACAGGCCATAACAATCTTTTTTCTAGCAAGCTCTATGGGACTAGCTACTAATTTCTCCTACTTGAAAAAAAAAAAAAGAACAAAAAATCGACTGCCATGTTAAACTGAATAATCTATTTTCTTACAATTCATCAAAGTAGACCAACGGAAGAATAAAATCACGTGTTTCATCAATCCCACATTTCCACTTCTCTTTGCAGTAACAGCAATTCATATTGTATAAGCCCATTCATTCACACAGGATCTTCGGAAACTGTAGTCTGTAAAGATTTTTTTTTTTTAAAAAAAAATGAAAATGAGAAATCCTCTTTTTCACTAGTGCACACAATTCTTTTTACGATCTTATTCTAGATTTGGTGGGATTTCGTGAGGCCATACTCCAATCAAAACGCACATAAAGTTAAAAACTAGTTGAGAAGGCAAACTACCAATAATTCGCACTATTTGGCGTGAACTCTTTTACATTAAATTTATTATTTCAAGTCTCAAAATTATTATCGAATTTGAATTTTTTACTTTTAGTACAATTTAAATAAAAAAATAAAATTCAAATTAGATAATAATTTCGTACATAAGTAGTAAATGTAAAAGACTCTCAACTCAATTACCCCTATAAAAAGGCATTACTGCCTCACCTCCTCAACACCAAACACAACACACTCACTCACACATTGTCTTTTGGAACTTAGGAATTACTCAAATTGCCAAACAGCTAAAAATGGCTGCTTCCTTCAACTTTGGCTTATTTCTAATTGTGATAATTGGTTTATCATTTTCGAGCATCCATGTTACTGAGTCAGCTAGGCAACTATTGCAAACTATGCCTTCCATACCAGCATTAATTCCAGCCACCGGTCCGAATTTACCGGCCGGGGGCGCAGCTGCAATTCCATCATTGCCGAAGCCCACATTGCTGCCTCCCGCTACTCCGCTACCCACGGCTCTTCCGACGATTCCCGGAGTTCCTCAGGTGGCCGTGCCTCCCATCCCAACTGCCGCAACTTCATTGCCAAATATTCCAACATCAATTCCTTCATTCTTCCCAGCCATCCCAACTTCGATTTCCTCAATTTTCGGGATCCCGGCATTATTGGCACCACCGCCACCATCTAACTAAATTCCGAGGCCATCTTTTGGCATGCGTCAATCTGTTATATGTTTAATCGTCACACACTTGTTCTTTCTTAATCCTCGAGTTTGATTTCGTTTTGATTTTTACTGAACGCATCGAATTCTATCTTCTTTTCTAGGCGTACAATTTGAGTAGACTGTCTATGTTTTAAGTTTGTCACTGTGATCGATATTATTGTAATAATTTCTTATTGTATTCGAATACTACTGTTTTTCCATTGTATACGTCCTCGCTTTTACTTCTTCTTCTTTTTGCATACGTTGACCAAAAAAAAAAAAAAACAGGAATAAATTTTAACCACCATTAATCGTTGATACAGAGATGATAAACTCCGGGCGGCGCGATGACAACATAAATGTCATGTAATGTGCATGCATGTCGCTTGTTTTTTTGTTTTTTTTTTTCATAAATTGAGGAGAAATATTATGTAGGAGATGACAGTCAACAAGCAAACTTAATTAAGACCATTTCGTGTATCCCCCAAAACAAACCATGACATACGATCCATCGACCAGCAAAACTCTTTTTGACTGGAGCATATCAATTTTGAGAAAGCGTGCGTGTATAAAGTGGACATCATTAGACATGGGTATTTAGTTAGCTAGTGTTTTATATTGGCATCAACACCGATTAAATCATTTGGGCTCAAGAAATTTATAAATGACAACCATATTCTTCCTCGGCCCCAAATTTAATAACACGAATGTTAATTTTTATTTTTTTTCATATTGCTGGATGTTCACCGTTGACAACAATGACTAATCCCTTCACTCATGATAGACATCTCAATGAGTGAGAGAATTGGCCAAAGAATTTAAGGCTCCCTTTGATAAACACTAAAGTCTGAAATCTGAACACTTAAATCTGAAATCTGAATTAATAAATACTGAATCTAAAAAGTTGTTTGATAGCATTTACCCCGTGCATATGAAACTAGGCACTAAATTTAATTAAGATGTTTGATAAATTTTGATGGAAATATCTGAATATGGTAAAATTTACTAAATTATCTATATGTGCAAATGGAAACATTTTTCACGTATTATACTATAAAATTTAAACTATAATAACAATTTCTTATTAGTTTTACAAAAAAAAATATAAATACAGAATAAAAATCAACTCCATACTTATCTCTAAAGAACACTCCAGAATCAATAATCAACTCTCAATGATCAAATACAATTTCTTTCGGTAAGAAAAATCTAAATACTAAAATATTACCCTGTGAGTCAAAATTTGTGATTGAAGAGTGAATCTAGATTGATCGAGTACATGAAAGTGGGAGGCGTTACTGATGAACCACGGGAGAGAAAGAAAACAGCGCGAAAAACTGCGGGAGAGAAGGAAAACGGGAGATGGGAAAAAAATGGTATATTATGTTGGGTTCTTCTAGCTGAGAAAGAGATGAATTAAAATAGCAACCATTGAGCATGTTAAGTGATAAGTGATAGGATTATCACTTAATTTTAGGAAAACTTTTAATTGAAAAATTTAGATACACTTAATTTATTAAGATGTCTAATTTTAAGTTATCAAACAAATTTACTACTATTTAAGTACTGAATTAATTAAGTTTCAGTGATTAAGTGATTATCAAACAGAGGCTAAAATTACTAATAACTCTAATGTTGAACTACATATTAATAAGATGAAATATAATTTTGGGATGATGGGAATAATAAAAATATATGCTCTTTCTTAATTTTTTTGTTTTACTGGAGTGTAAGAAAGATGCAAATCAAGGTTGGAAACGTACTAATTCATAATATTTTATGTAAATTTCAAAATTTAATGTGAATTTTTTAGAACATGACTTTTTGGTTTTCACGCATTATTGAAATGGCCCTCACAATATATGTAACACGTGAGATTAATATTTTTAACACCCTTTTGTTAAAAAATTAAGCAAAAGAAAACCGTGAGTGGCCACCACGAACTCAAAGGGAAAGGGGAAATAATTAAGAGTATAGTTATTGATAAATTTAGCAATGATCATTATCCTGTGCCTAATTGTGAACTACACAGACTGTATAAAATATTTACGATAGTGGATATAATTAAGCATGTTTCTCATAATACGTGGTTCATTGGGTAGGCGAGCTCCCCATTGCCCAAGTGTATCTCCACTGCAAGAATGCAAAAGTTACAAGACCAAAATCAAGGAGTAGCTTCCCACCTCGGTGTTGGTTCATCAACATTACTTAAAGTCACTTCCTCAATCTACATAAATACTCCATTCGGCTCACAAAAATTATTTATTTTATTAAACTAAAATATTATAATAAAATAAATTATTTTTCTTAAACATAAAGGATAATATCTTTATTCAACCCCCGTGTCATCAGAAGAGTTTGAAATTTGGCAAAAAGTAACAATTTATGAATTTGATTCAACTACGCACTCAGTGTAGGTTAAACTAACAACTTTATATGCATAGTGTTGTCCGCGGGAAGTTGTTTATCAATATGCCTTTATGTTGGCTTCTCTCATTGACTTTCCTCAATATGATCACATATTCCCATCCCTCTCCGGATTCCAATTCCAAACTACACACTATCAATTTCTCCTCTATTCCTTTGATTTTCGTGACATTTGGTTGGTCCATTTTCCTATCTGAATCTGCAAAAATCGGATTTAGTTGAGATCCCAATTTGACTACTATTCCAGTCTTCAAGCTAACCCAACTAATTTAGATTGAATCAAACACTATTTTCAGACTCAACCTTGTATAAATAAAGCACGGTCTTTCCCTTCAATTTTCAGACCACAAAACTAACATATCTCTCTCCAATTATTCAAATCATTCAACTCCAATATTGTCATTAATTCAAATCAAAATGGCTGCCTCTTTCAACTGTGGCACATATGTAACAATACTGATCATTGCTTTATCAACATTTTCGAGCATCCATGTTAGCGAGGCAGCTCGGCATTTATTGCAAACTACGCCGGCCTTACCAACACTTCCTACCACCCTACCCAATTTTCCGGCTGGCGGCGGCGCAGCCACAATGCCACCAGCATTGCCAACACTACCAACAACTCTTCCGACTCTTCCAAATCCGACATCATTGCCACCAAATCAGGTCCCCACGATCCCCGGAATTCCTAAGGTGAACATGCCTCCCATGCCAGCTGCAACTTCATTTCCGAACATTCCAAACATCCCAACATCAATTCCTTCAATTCCCAACTTCCCAACTTCATTTCCATCAATCCCTGGAATTCCAACATTGGCAGCGCCACCATCGAATTAATTGATCCATATGATCAAGGCATGCATGAAATCTTCACAGTTCGTCTTATTTCTCCGTTATTACTTTCAGATTGGGTTTTGTGGTAACGCTTTTTGGGCGTTTGTTGTCCCTGTGATGTTGTATTCCTCCCACAGATTGTATTGTTAATTTATGAGTACTATTACTTGTTTTGTAAGGATTACCTTTTGGGTTTTTATGTTTCATCGTGTTTAAATGGTTTTGCATCTTTCCGAATTTATTAAGGAATTGCGGGTTATTTTAAATAATTTATCGCGCAAGATCTTAAATTTGTGCCAGGGTTTTTTTTGAAAATTAATTGGTACATCACTTCGTAGTTAGCACCATCTTCCTCAACTTAATTAGATCATTTTGTAACCCAAAATCTGATAGGGGATATCAATTCGGTGCATTAGAGATGGTTAGAAAAAGAATAGACATAGATGCACCTTTTACATTAATCTGAATAATAAATTATATTCAAGGTGATTTTAGTTTAGTGAAGAAAATGAAGTGCCCAGAAGGCCAAAACAAGAGATACGAAGTTCAGTTTCCATAAATTTAGTTTTCACCGTCCTATATTTTGGCTGGTCAATGGTTTAACTATAGTACTCTTTTCGTCCAAACAAAATCAAAATTACTATTTAAAACTTGTATTGGTCTTAGTACATTTTACAAATTATAACTTAAACTATATTTGTACGACAACAAGTAAATTGCTATAAATAACTCGAGGTTGATTACAATACGATGTTGCCTAAATTTTGTTCTTTTAAAATGAAAAGAGACCAATACCAACTACCACCCATCCAACTCGGAGATATGAAAAATCATTTCTTTTGACGTGTTTTAATAATTAAATTAATATTTTATTCAAAAAAGTAAAATAAAATAAAATAAATATATTGAACACATGCATAACATATGCTAGGATCACGATATGGCTTAAATATAATGCATAATAAAAGGAAGGAAAACACAAAAAGAAATATGAGAAAGAAATGATAAACATTTAATTTCCAAGTGTTTATAATACTACCATAGGATGAATTCGTTCCATAATTCTGACTTAACGTGAACCGTGCATGATTGTGGATTTAATTAGTCATATTGCCGCCCGTACTCAGTATCCAATTAGCAAGACATATTACATGCAACCAAGTTGTATAGCACGAGTGCTGTTCACCTAGAAATCCTACTGCTTCCTAATTTTAGACAAATGAATAGATCATCGTAGGTCTGAACCAAAACTAGATCATTACTGTATTTGTAGGACGTCAAACCTTAATGTAACTAGATCATTGTAGGACAAACGTTTGAATAATAATGTAACTTGCCTACAGCTTCAACTGTACTTATTTTGGGTTTTATAAGGCCCAATTTAATTAACACTTAGTTTACTACAAATCGGAGGGAAACTAATACCATGGCATGCAGGACCTATAAATACACGTTAAACCCAACAATACTAAAGGCACATAAAACTTCCCATTGGACTAAAATTGTATGTCCATTCGTTTGCTTCAATACAAACTTTAATCTACTCACTAAAAAGTCTAAAGACAGAGGACTCATAATTTAAACACGGGCTTGATTCACATAATCGCCTCGTTATTTGTGATGCTCAGTTTCAAGTTTTTGGCAATCTCTGCCACATTAGAGACTTACATTGTTCATGTTGAGTTGCCTGAGCAATCTGATGATGGCAATGTTAAACTTTCTAGTACAAGAAGCTCTGCTTCTAATGAAGAACTTGACAATTGGTATCAATCTTTCATGCCAACAAGTTCAAATCTGGCTGCCAGCTCCAGCAGAGTTGAAGAATCACCTCGTTTGGTTTATGCCTATCATAATGTCTTTACAGGTTTTGCAGCTAAGTTATAAAAAGAGGATGTGAAGTCCATGGAGAAAAAGCCAGGTTTTATATCTGCCTTTTAACACCCGAGAAGATACTCACTTTGCACACTACCCGTGCTCCCAATTTCTTGGGGTTGCACCAAAATTCGGGATTCTGGAAAGAATCAAATTTTGGCAAAGGTGTTATCATTGGATTGCTTGATTCCGGAATCATGCCGGATCGCCCTTCATTTAGCGATCATGGAATGCCTCCTCCACCTGCCAAATGGAAAGGGAAATGTGAATTTAACACCTCTGTATGCAACAACAAGTTGATCGGCGCAAGATTTTTCAACGGGGTCGGAAACGGTTCGCCGAGGGATGTATTCGGTCATGGAACTAAAACTGCAAGCACTGCTGCCTGAAACAATGTTGGAGGCGCGAACGTGTTCTGTAACGCTAATGCCACGGCTTCCGGCGTCGCTCCTCTTGCTCATTTGGCCATGTACAAAGTGTGCGACGATCGATGCCCCAAAAGCGCTATAACCGCGGCCATGGATCTTGCAATCGATGACGGTGTTGACATTGTTTCGATCGCGCTTGGTGGAATTTCTCAGCCATTTCATGCGGACAGTTATTGAGAATCCCAGTCCCACATTGGTACTGGAAGAGACTGAATATCAATATAAAAGTACATAGCTACTTCCTTCATAGCGAATTGTTTTTTGAGGTGGAATTTTATGGACTTTATATGATATCAGAGTCAGCCCGTCGACATTCAAACTCCAAAAAAATCTAACAAGAAAATAGGGCTGAGACGTGAGGCAGTACATGGGATGAAAAAAATAGGACAAGCCTAACTCTAAAAAATACGTTGGGATGAAAAAAATAAGACAAGCCTAACTCTAAAAAATACGTTGGGTTTGCGGGGGAGTATTGAGAATCTCAGTTCTACATTGGTGCTGGGAGAAGCCCAACTCCAAAAAATACATTGTGCTTGCGGGGGAGTATTGAGAATTCCAGTTTTACATTAGTGCTGGGAGAGACTAAATATGCTACTCCCCTCATAGTCAATTAGTTTTGAGGTGGAATCCCATGAGTTTATATAATAGTGTTTCGATCCTTCCCTCATAACTAATTGGTTTTGAGGTGAAACCCCATGGGTTTCTATAATAGTGTCTCGATCGGGGCTTCTATAATAATGTCTTAATCCTCCCCTCATAACCAATTGGTTTTGAGATGGAACCTCATGGGTTTCTATAATAATGTCTCGATCGGGGCATATCGAGCGATGGAAAAGAGGATTTTCGTGAGCTGCTCGGCATGAAATGGTGGCCCGGAATATCGTTCACTAACAAATGAGGCACCATGGATGCTCACTGTTGGTGGAAGCACAATTGATAGGAAAATCAGGTCAACAGCTTTACTTGGCAACAAAATGCAACTCGATGGCGAATCCCTTTATCAACCTAAAGGCTTTCAACCAGCACAATATCCTATTAACTTTCCAGGAGTAAATTCTGATGACGATTTAGGTTGCTATGATTTTCTAAATGTCACAGAAGTTAAAGGCAAATTTGTCGTATGCGGTGGTGAAGTCGATAGTAATGTAGAAAAAGGAAGCAGAGTCAAAGGTGCTGGTGGAGTTGGATGATTATCATCAACCCTCGGACAGATGGTTATATTACGCATGCAGAAGCTCATGTCCGTCCCGCTACTCACATATCTTACGCGGATTCGGATACATTATTCACGTACGTTAACTCGACAAGGCACCGACGGCTGCCATATCGTTTAAAGGTACAAGAATCAGAGATGAACATGCTCCTCAAGTTGCTTCATCTTCTTCCAGGGGTCCAAGCCAAGCCAGCCCTGGAATTTTGAAGCCTGATATAATTGGTCCGGGTGTAAACATTCTGGCTGCTCGGTACACATCCCTGGAAAATATCCAGTACACGAAATCCAACTTTAATGTAATGTAAGGCACTTCAATGGCGTGCCCTCATCCCAGCGGTGTTGCTGCATTGCTGAAAAATGCACATCCTGACTGGTAGCCGGCTGCCATTAAGTCCGCAATAATGATGACTGCTGATCTCGTGAACTTGGCGAAAAATCCCATCGAGAATGAATGGAAATTTCCAGCTGATGTTTTCGCTATCGGATCAGGCCATGTCAACCCTTCCAAAGCAAATAATCCAGGCTTGATTGATATGCTTATATTTTACCTATTTATTATATCCCTAATTTATGATTTTTGCTACTATTTTGAGTATAAATATGCTATTTATATGATATTATGTTTATTTGTAGGTTTTGTACTCAAATGGAAGAATTGTTGAGATTTTCGACTAAATTGAAAAGAAAAAGCAACTCAAAGGAAGAAATTGAAGCACTTGAAGATTTGGAGGAGTTTTAATTTAAATTGGCTTGAAAAAAAAAAGTTTTTTATTCCTGAAGAAATAGGGTTTGACGAAAGCATATAAAAAGAGGAGTAGGGTTTTATTTTTGGACCGAACTTGACCGAACCTCCACCGAAATCAAGACCCAGCGGAAGCTTTTTCCTTGCTCACCTCACGCCGACCACCATCCCATCACCACCGAACAAAAAACCCCACACATCTCCAAGCAATTCCAGAAACTCCATCACCGACCTCCACCTTGACCTCACGCAGCAGCTTCACCACTCTGCTTCCCATCACCGCCGCAAGTCCACCTTCCTGGCCACGCAGCCCCAACCGAAGCAGCCAGCAGCCAAGTCCTCCTTGCCGCAGCAACCTTACGCCCATTATCATCATCATCATACCTCTCTGCTTTCATCCACTCTGATCACCACCATCAACCCCTTCAACACCAACTTCACGCCACACCATCATCGTCAACGCATTATCACCATCATCTCTAGGAGGGGAAAGCACGGACCGGAAGCAACTCCCAGGTTCCATTGTTTTAATTACTTTAATTTCAAGATAATGTGTAGCTAATTCTTTTAACATAGGGTTTGGATGTAGTCGCCGGATTTATTTGGTTTATTTGGTTCATTATTATTTGACTTTTCCATTAATTAATATTTGTTATTCTTGTTTTAATTCGTGTAAGTAATTGGCCACTATTTACATGTCTGAAGATACTAATCGAAGTAGCGAGAGTGGAAGATTAGTATTAGTTCGTAGGAATAATAGACTTAGGTTGTTAGCTACGAGAATAAGGCTCCGTTTGATAATCACTGAAGTCTGAATCTGAACACTTAACACTTAACACAGAAGTCTGAAGTATGAAGACTAAATTTATATTGTTTGATAAAAACGTATGAATTTGATGTCTAAAGACTGAAGTCTGAAGTCTGAAGATTGAATCTGAATACTCAGGTTTGAAAGTTATTTAAAATTTTAATATCATTAAAATTGAATTATAAACAAAATTCTTTTAAATAGAAAAATAACTTATATTTTGTTCTAAATAATATAATCATAATTTTAAAATAAGTTTTTGGTATATATAATGAAAGTAGATATTACATTTGGTAAATAATCATTATATAAATTTAGATCATTACATATATATCTATATATATATATATATATATATATATACCTTGTTATTTCATGTATTAAAATTAGTTTAATTTGAGTTT